TCGCGATTCGTGCAAGTACATTTCTCTTTTTTGTTTCTCTCACATAGAACATGTTTTGAACTGCAAACTTCCGCAGCACAGCAAAGCTTTCTATCTAGAATCTAGGATAAAACTTTCAGATTTTTTGTCCAAAATAAATATACGAATTAAGATTTTTTTGATAAAAAAACTTATTTTTAGTATTTACGTCGGACCAAAAAATATGAAAGTTTTATCTCACGTTCTAGTTAGGAAGCTTTATTGTACTGCAAAGTTTGAGATTCAAGATAGATTCTATATAAGAGAAACAAAAAAGACAAATTTACATGTAAAATGTTAGTTGTGTTGCACAGATCTTAAAACAATATTGAAGAGCTAAAATAGATGGGCATGGGTGCAGGTGCTCGAAAAATCCGCGTCCAGGGCACGACTAGGGCCATGGCAGCGTCCCCAGGAGGACACGGCACACGCATGCGTCGTCGCTGTCAGCTTCGGCTAGCTGAGCGGGGATTTTGTGCTGACCCGTGACCGAAATCCAAACCACCGGAGCGAGACAAGGGAGCCACGCTTATCATCGTTGAAGAAGGTGACACCGAACGCCACCGGCCTCTCCGCCACCAACAGCAGCCACGACCGGGCCAAAGGGAAGAATCTGTCGCACTGCTGCCCAGAGTCGCCGCCCTGGAAACCAGGACCCACAACCGGCGACCATCCACCAGGCTCCAAACATCTCGCGCCGGTGACCGCCGGACAGAACCTACCCTATCACCGCCAGCAACATATCTAGACCAGCCCAAACTTGCGACACCCAACTCACCATCGGCCTTCCCCAACGCCGAATGTCAGCACCCCTGCTACCATGGGCCGGCTATGGGCTAGGCCCAGCTGACTTGCTGCCAAGTTCCGATCTGGTATTCAGAGCCAGCCACCAGCACACCACCCTTCCACCCCCAAATTTCTGCCTAATTTTTTTCCACCACCACCATCCAACGGAATCAACCATGGATCCGTTCCTCCAGGAGTATCTCGAGCGGCTCGGCGCCAAGCTCGACGCCTACACCAACGCCGTCAGGTCCCTCGCCGATAAACTGAACGCCCTTGACGTCAGTTGGGCCACCAGTTCACCCGCCGTCGTCCACAACCCACCATCAGCGACCACTTCGCCGGAGAGCACGACCAACGCGTCGGCGCACGTCCCGGACGTCTCCGGCTCCACCACCAAGGCCCAGGAGATTCCCACGGTCGCCCAGGATGCAGCCCCGGTGTGCATCACGATGGTGCCCGTCACCTGTTCGACGGAGTGCTCGACCCAGGTTGACACCATCGACAGCGTCGACGAGGTTCATGACGCCGCTATCGCCGTCCACCTCGAGCCCACGGTCGACCCAATCCACCAAGCAGTTGAGCAGCTCGCTCCGGTGCAGGCAACGGCCTCCATCGGCACCAACACTCCCTCTTGTGACGAGGTCGTTTCTCCCGTGACGACCACCACCGACGTCGACACAAGGCCAGCGTGCAGGAGCTTGATGCCCTCTCGGTCGACTCCTCCACCCAAGTGATGAGCAAGGCGAACCATGGCGTCGTCCTCATCATCACCAGCGACTTCTCTGCACCAACGCTGACCATGTGTTCAACAGATTACATTGGCCATGGCGACGACCCGGTGCAGCCAACTGCACGCAAAGAGCATTGCCCACATGGCGTTCATCTCGTGGGTGAGTGCACAGGCTTGCTGCTGCCACCATTGCGGAAAGGAACTAAGCCGCAACAGTGGCCGCCCCCTGTTCTAGTGCAGTGTGCAGAGGATGACATTGTTCTGTTCCGTGGCATTGTTTGCGGATTTTTCACTAGTGACTCTGACTGTGTATGGTGGCCACCTGATCACCTGCCAAGGAGGATTCATACTGAGTTGCAAACTCCAATTGTTACTTCAGTGCAGTTGCAACCATGGCCTTCTGGGAATTTTCAACTCACTCATCCATTGAGCGACGACCAGAGCATTTTGGGCAGCTTAGTTTCTGGGTTTCCACTGAGCAGCGACGGAAGAGAAGGGAATTCATCACTCCGTCTATTTCCCCTAAGTGCTCAAACAAATTCCTATGGGGAGTCGCATGGCCACTCCGTTCTGAGAACACAGCTGCTAATTATGGGCATGTCAGTGCATTGCCAGTTTTGGTGTCAAGAGGATTTTACAGGGAACGGCCGCGTGGAGTTCCAGATTAACTCGGCGGTGTTTGCAACTGCAGGTTCAACTGCAGGAGATTCTGTGTACAAACCATGGCTGCGGCAGTACAATTTCAGTGGACGCTTCTGAGGGATACTCACCAACCAGTTCTTGCATTTGTGGTCCTTGAAGCATGACAGCGATGATTCAGATTTTACTAAGCATGTCAAGCTTACCATCACTTCCAAACAACATCACTCTTGTCTTGCTACGGGTTGTGTTCTTGTTTTGCAAGATCTCAATGCTGCTCAATCCACCCTTAAGACTGCGCAGATGCTGAAAATAGAGGTGACAACAGCGGGACTGCAGCCAGCGACTTTCCGCGTGAGGCAGTCATTGCTTGGTACTTACAGGAGCAACATTTCAAGTCATTTTGGTACTGTTCTTGCCACTCACTTTGGCACTGCTAGCATGTTCTGGGAACAACCTACCTTGATTGCTGGGATGAGAAGGAGCCTCCCTGATGGTTGTGAGCGGGTTTCCATGGAAGAGCACTTCAGTTATTTGCAATATGTACAGCTGCAACTATGGCGACTACCTACGCATACACATGGGTCTGCACTAGGTGAACAACAATCAGGTTTCGATCTTTGGCCAGTGAAGCTACTATTCAGAGATAATTATGCATGTTCAGCTTGGTACTGCTACATTTTTGACACTTGGATCAGGAGCAAACTGACGGGAATCACTTCGCAAGATGATACAATGTATGGTGTTAATTTCACTTTCAGCTTCCTTCATGCGCACAGTGGTGGCCTACTTCTTATGGCAAGCAACGCAGCATGTATTTATATGGCGAGCACTTGTTCAGTAGCCCAGTTTCAATATTGCTCTAACTCGGTACTGCTGATTTTTGAGCAATTTGACTTCCAAATCGCCCGACTGCCGTTCTCTCAAGCTTGGTTTCTCAAGTCTGGGCACTCTAGCAGAGCTTGCACATGGGAGCGACCATTCTTACCATCACGAACAATATGGAATATTATTCTTGGTAGTTCGTGGGAGGCATGTATAGTTACTCATCACCGGGTCTTGATTCTTCCTTGGGATCCAGGTAACAATCTATATCCCGTTGGTATGAATCACCTTGCGACAAGCAGAGTCACCTTCTGTATGCTGCTGCTACTGCCATGGGATCCTGGCAATGGAATATGTCGTTGGCTTGATGGTGCTAAACTTTGTTGGAGTATTTCTTGGAACCCGGGTGACCAAGCAGTTCTTACCGATGCTCTACGAATACTGCAAACAATTCCTCATTCTAAAACTACCAAGAGCTTTTGGTTGTACCTCGTGGTTCAGCAAGCAGTGCTGATATCATGGGATCCAGGTGATATGGTTCTTCTGTTGGTTCAATTTGTTGAACATAGCTGGTGCTTCCTCAACTTACTTCTATCAGATTCGTTGAGGTATGTGATTTGCCTCATCAATCTGAACAAAGACCGGGGTGTGGGTAGCTTGGGACTGCGCCTGTCCGTGGATCCTTATTGCAAGTTCCCATGCTGCATGTCTGAGGTGTTCAAGAATGGAGTACAAAGCATTGGACAGCCTGCAGTAAAATTCGTTCTGTCGGCATCTTCTTCTTATGAGCAATGGGATCCAGGAGGATTGCACTTTACAAAATGTTCAAGGCTTGCAACGGAGAACTGGCACCGGCTTGGGGGCAAGCCGGCTGTTAAGGGGGAGGGGATGTCAGCACCCCTGCTACCATGGGCCGGCTATGGGCTAGGCCCAGCTGACTTGCTGCCACAAGCGCTACAGCCACAACAACTATACATAGCAGGACCAAGGCACTGGACGAGCCATCCAGTGGATCAACGACCCGGCGGCGGCAAGAACCCTAGCTTCCCCTGTAGCCAATTCCCCATTTGTAATCGCCACTTCTCTGTAACCCAGCCACTGAATCGAATTCGTGTATGCAACTGAGCTAGTTGAGTGATTCCTATCCGTTTCCTTACACCAAACGTGAAGCGCCGCCGTCTAGAGCCACTGATGAGTGTGCGAGGCACCACCGCCCGCATCAGAATGGATCTGGGGCAGGGGAAGCCCAAAGTTCGCGGCGCCACGGCTGGCCACCACGCTGCCCCTTTAGCCATGGCGGCGCAGCCACCGTCGTGAACCCCTGAGGCCGCAACCCCAGCTTTCATGCTCCGCCTACACTCATGGCGTCCAGGGACGCCGCTGCACACTAGCATCAGCCGCCGCCAAGAGGAAAGAGGCAAACCCGGCACCACCGTCCACCGGGCGAGCTTTACTCGCCGGCTTCCTCTGGCGGCTGTGGGGAGATGGAGCAGAAGATGGGTCAGGGGCGGCGGCGCAGGCGTCTTTCGAAAAAGAAAAATAGCAAGCGGTTGGATTGGTAGACGAGTGGACGAAACTCGAAACGAACACTTTTTGGCCTGCTTAGAATTTGACATGCTGACAGCAGTTCAGGTGAAAACCCACAAAAAGTTCCAGCATTCCAGGTGGGGAATTGATTTTGGCAAGCCACAGTTTCAGAACAGATGGTATCTCTAGCCTAATGACACAGTACGCACCCTTTCGAGCTACCCGACACAAACGAAGTTCCTGCGCAATCTAAAGCTAAAAACCCATGCAGGAGAACATGTGGATGGCCACATAATCAGAGAGAGCCTAGCAGATCAGTATAGTTCAGTTTCTGTAGACGCCTTCACCTCACACACGCTGCCCAGAGAGGGAGTAATGTTAGCTCAAACTGCAAATGTACAACATGGATCCACGGCTGGCTCATGTCAACGGCAAAGTCCTCGGTATTGTTTTCATCTGTGCTTCTTCTCCTGTCTCAGAGGTACTGTTCATGTATCCTCGCTCGATTCTCCTCCCACCATAGCCTCGCATGCATCTCGCTGAACTTCTCTCGGCTGCAAAGCAGAACAAGAGACATGCAATAATTGAGCATCTTGCCATGATCATACCCTAGAGAGTACGAACAGTTCCACTGGAACCATTTCACTGAACTTGCATTGTTATTCTGATGTTATTGTGATTTCTGAGTTCCAGCGTTGTATATTCTCTCTTGCAATTTTAGGGACTGTACGCCTCGAAAATGGCTCACGGGTAATATCATTCACAAAGAAATCAAATAAGGGCAGGATGGAAGTCAGACCTGAATCGAACACGGCGGAGTTCTCTGATGCCACCAGGCAAAGCCCGGATGGTAATATATACACCAGGCTGGTCTTCCTCAACCCATTCCCTCTCTTGGTCGCTCGCGTTGCTGATGGACACTGAGAGCTCACCGGACCTGTCGACCTCTTCTGGAGATGAACTCGTCCTCATTGACGCATCCATCGATGACGTTTCTGTCTTGGCCCCACTTATACTTGACAGCTTCGGTGTCGATGCCAGTCCCACTGAATCATAGCACTGGTGCCCATGGTGAGGGTGGAGACCGTTACAGTAGTGGTTAGAATGGTGCTCAAGAGAATCAGATGAAGAGTAACCCATCGCTCCGCCTCCCGATGTTGGTCTCTGTAAAGAACGAGGTACTCGCTCCTTGTCCAGTGGTGGTGTTACCGGGCTGTCCTCCTTGGAGCTCTGTAGGAAAAGAAAGGCCATGGAACAGTGTAAAGGCACTACTACAAGACCGGATTTTAGTGATTGAAACAGCTAAGGATAAATTCAGCACGTCTCACCTCATCTTCAGACTTTGGAGTAGTAGGGAGAGGAACACTTTGATGGTTAAACCTCTGCACGTTGTAAAGTTCCATGACTTTGTCATAGTTTTCAGCCCACCATCTTTGCGCTTGCCATTTGTTGAACATCTCACGGCTGTCATTCCATGCAGGAAAAAGTCACAGCATGAGATACAGATGCAAACAACTTCTCATAGAGAAAGGTTAACAAGCATGCATTTTGTTTCCAGTGTTGCTGTTTGTCTATGAATTCACTTTCCATTTATTTTTTTATATGGTTACATTTTTTGTGTTGTAGCTTGTGCAAAACTTTGCATTGTACAGATCACATGGAAGGAAGATCCAAACTGTCACTTTAATGTACATAATTACAAAATTAGTAGTGAATCGATAAGCCACGATGGCTATAGCTGTATAGTACTCTACTTAATCAATGTACACAAAGCTGTCAAGAGTTAATGAATGCATGGGAATTAAGTCAGCACATGGGCAGCTAAGTGATATCCTCCATGATCAAGGATCACAGAATAGAGTGTTTGCTTGCAGGCCACCTGCATGGATCGAAAAAAGAAAAAGAATGGAGTCTTTGCCTCCCAACTATAACATTCCAGACCAGACAAGGAAAGTTTTTTTTTTTTCGAAACGGAGGCAAAGATCGCCTCATCTATTAATTAAACAGAAGAGAACGGAAAACCGGGCAAAAACCGGAACAACAAGGCCAAGCCCATTCCCATGGACTGAAACACATAGGGCAAAGCCCACCCTAATCGACGACAAGTCGACTTGCGGCCAGACAACGCAGCTCCGACTCTGACGGAGAACTCAAAAGGACAAAATCAGATACAGCTGGCGCCAAGGAAGATCGCCGAACGGGCACCTACAGCCAGTCATCGTACACCACAGGGCCCCGCCGCCGCAGCTTCGACTCCACAGCAACAAGCACCCCGAGGCAAAACCGTGGACACGCCGGAGAAGAGCCGACTACCGCAACCATTGTCACATCGCCGACATCGCTCCCATCACCATCGTTGCAACAAGAGTCTGGTCGCCACAGAGATTCTCTCGGGGCCGCCGCCCCGACATCCACCGCTCCATCGCGCCCAGCGCAATCAACCGGCACCGCCTTCCGGGGCCGCCGCCCCGACATACCACCGCTCCCCTCGAGCAGCAACGCCGCACAACCCAGCTGCCCGCAGCCCACGCTGCTCAGGGCAACCGCTCGCAGACCACGAACGTCGCACCACATCCAGGGCCGCCGCCCCGACGTAAAGTCAGACCGCCTCCTCTGAGGCGCATCGACCGAGCCGACATCCCTACCGCCCAAGCGGAACAAGAATGCCACCCAACCAATGTCAAGCCAGAGCCCCACCTCATAGAGCTGCCACTCGCATTGTTCCCGAGATCGCCATCTCGACGCACAATCAGAAACCACCCAGGGCCGCTGCCCCGACGTCCACTGTCCCCGTCGACGAAGAGATCCGTGCAAATTGCCAAATGCTGACTCTCCAAGGCGATGCCTCAAAGAAGGATACGACATAGCCGCCGTCAACGCCCGCTTCGACCACCGAAGCTAGGGATTTCTCCCGGAGAGTCGTGAAATGGAGCTCCACGGCAACGCCTTCAAGAAGGGGAGTGACACCATGGCGCCACCATTGCCGGCACCGACCCAAAGTCGGGGCTAGACTTTCGCCCGGAGCTCCATCACACCTTCGGATCCGAGCAGATCCGAAGCACTGCACAGCACACCATCCCCATGGTCGACATCCACCGGCTCCACCTCGTGATGCAGCAGCCGTCGCACCTCTCAAGTGCGCGGACCCGCCAGATCCGCGGCCTCCCCGCCGCCGTGCCTCTGCACGACCCCCTTGCGCTGCTGCCGCGCCTCAGCACGGCCCCTTGCGCCGCCGCCGTGCCGCTTGCACAGCCCTGCCCAGGCCACAGATCCACCAGTGCGCTGGGCGTCAGATCCGCACCAGCAGAGCGACCCCGCGCCGCCGCGCGCCTGCAGCACGCCTCCAAGCACCGCCCCCTGCGCCTCCTCGCTGGGCGAGTGCTAGCACCGTGCCCAACCCGCGAGCACCCGCTGGAGTGGCCGTCCCGCGCCGCCCCATCCAGAGGAGAAGGAAAGAGACCCCGCTGCCGCCGCGCCGCGCGGGCTTTGCCCGGCAACGCCTGCCGGCGGCGGCGAGGGGAGGAGGGGCGGAGGGGTGTTACGCTCGCGGCGGCTGGGGTTAGCTCCTGGCCGCTCGCGGGAGCGGCCGAGGAGCTCCGAACATAACTCAAGGTAATGTTATGTTCATATACAAGGAAAGTTTTTCATTTCACAACTTATAAGCCCAAAATTGATGCTATTCCTATGCATCAGTTTTCTTTTTGCCTCATAAATCATGATGCCTGGCAGTACATGTAGTTTTATTTTATTTTGAAAGGGTGGCAGAACATGTAGTTTTTTTAGTTCCACTTGCATCTATGCAGAGCTCTGTTTCATACTTTCATCACATGCATACCAACAAGTTTAGATCCCATGTTCAACTGATACAGTGAACAGCTAACCAACTTCACCTGGCAATCTAAATCCAGAAGTAACAGAATATATGGAGATCCAAATTTTCCGGGTATTATGACACACCATTTAAAAGAGGGGAAAGATGGCACGCCATTTGAAAGGAAAGCCTTAGATGGATGAAATTTCAATATAAAATTAGAAACAATCTGTAAAGCGAGAAGAAGTGAAACTATTCCATCCCTGTGATAATTGTACATCATGCTGATTGTCGAAGAGGTCAAAGGGCAGGACACACAAACAGAGGGAGATGGCCCACTGCTATCAATTTACTGTGTTGTCCATGCTCCATTCAGAAAGAAATCACAAGTGTGCAGTGGTTAAGCCAATAGGTGCGTCGGCAGATCTGAAGCACATTAATTGACTGATCCATACGTCAATGGAATGACAATTAGTGCATCCCGTGACAACGTTGGCAATCAGACTAATGTTACTTCACAAACTACCAAGTTTTGAATTGGCCCTACTTGCCTTAGATCTAGACCCAGTGAACTAAACAAAACAACACCTGCACCCATGTTAAGGTCCAGCTAGTGTTTCAACCATACAATACTATTTTATCCCTAATGATACTAGTGGGGACCAATCAACATAGCTGGCCACAAGGAGCTCCCCACAAGAACCTTATTTTAACAATATTACTATGTTCACAAACAAATCTTAGAACGACTATTATAAACTCAATCCGAACACTACAAATTTATAATGAGCATATTTTCACATGCACATTTTAAATTTATAGTGCCAAGACTAAGTTTGCAAAAGTGGTTTGTAAGATCTGATTATGAGTGTAATATTGTTGGAACTAAAACTCTACACATGAGCAAAAATGCTTCCAATTAGAGGGCCATGTTTGTTGGCTCTCCTGATAAGCCAGTGCAGAGAGACCCAACCACATATCAGTAAGACCACAAGCCAAGCAAATGGCCAAAGAAGAGAGAGGATCAGGAATTTTCTAATCCAACACTCATCTTTCCATTGAAGCTTCTTTAGGCCACAAGCCAAGCAAATGGCCAAAGAAGAGAGAGGATCAGAACTTTACTAATCCAACACTCATCTTTCCATTGAAGCTTCTTTATTGACTACCCAGTTGAGAGGTAGCTTGTGGGCCTTTCAAGTCTATCCCTGTTAATACTACCTCTTCCAGGAGAGGAAGAGTCATTGCCAGCACAGAAAATGCATGACTTGTCTGATAGCATAAAGTACAAATGTGCAACCTGGACTTGCCCGTCATAGTATTGGTAAATTCAAAATTCATAACCAGTTGATACACTGGAGCTGCTACACCTCTACCATGGACAACTGACATGATCCCGTATACTCTACAACTAGCACATATGCCCGTGCGTTGCAACGGGAAAAAATGATGTTTTGTGCAAGCATAATGTCCCACAGCACCGGATTCACTATACGAAGAACATGTTGCAACGCAGCATCCTTCTACAAAATGAACATAAAAAAATATGATGCAATTTAGACGTGTTATATTTTCTTTGCTGGGCATAATCTCTCACTGATTCCATTTAAGTACAATCCTTCCTTTAATTGCCATGACGTTCTCGTCCGTTTTAGTTGGGAATCAAATTCTTCCTTTTCTAATTTAGTAGCCGCAACACATTGAAGCCTACAGATCTTTCCTTTTAATTATCCTACCTTTTTATCTCAAGTCCTTCCTTTAATTAGGCTCATCTATTTGAATATTCTATTTATTAAGACCACAATCTTTCTTTTATTTATTTCACCGGTTTACCCATAATTCTTTCTTTAATTATCCACATTCGTTTAAATATTTTGTTTAAGCCCACAATTCTTCCTTTAGCTCAGTTGCTTAATTAGCTCGCCCTAAACACGAGGGCTGCCACTTGTATATTTAGAGCGAGTTGGATTAGTAAATGTGAATGGCACATAGATCATTGGTTGTTACATCGAAGATCCAGACAGGAGGTCCTGTGATCAATTCCCACAATGTTGATATATTTTTACCCCAACTATTTTTCGTGGTCTGTATGAAAGCCCATAAAAGACCCATCAACGTACAAGTACCTGGCCCAGAAAACGAAAAGGACTAAACCAAACCAAGAATACCTATTCCCTTTAATAGTAGGTATAGATGTATGAATCAAAATTCTAAATCTGACAACTCTATAACATGCATTCTGACACATCTAGAATTCAACCTGGCTGGATCACGCCGGAGGCTAAATCTAGAGTTGACAATGAGTTTTCACTGCTATTTACAATGTGCCCGATTGTTCTCATTAGAGAACATCCAGTTGGAAAATTTAAAAGAACAAGGATTTACAAACTATAGAACACATAAGAATGGCAAAATAGGGTGGCAGAAAAATCGTAGAGTATTATGTAGTACTATTGCACATTAACAAAAGTGCTGCAGTCAAGTGTCCATGTTGGATGGCTCTCCTGATAACCCGGTGTGGAGGACCCAACTAGTACATATCAATAAGAAGGCCACCAGCCAAGCAAATGGCCAAAGAAGAGAAGGAGCAGAATTTTTCTGTTCCAACGTCTTTCAATTAAGCTGCTGTATTGGATACCCAGATAGGATGTAGCTTGTGGGCCTCTTTGTGTCTATCCCATGATAATACCACCTCTTTGGTGGAGAGGAAGCATCATCGCCAGCACAGCAGATGTATCATTTTCATAGCCTAAAGTACAAATGTGCAAGCTGGACTTGCCCCCACATAGGACTGGTAAGTTCAAAATTCATAGCAAGTTGATGCACTGGAGCTTCTATGATTCTAGCGTGGGCAATTCTAAATCTACTGGCTCCTCACACAACATGCATTCTGACACATCTAGACTTCGACCTGGCTAGAGCACGTGAGGGGTTAAATGAGGGCCTATTCTAAAGTCAATACGCCAGATTGTTCCGGTTTACAGCTCATCCAGTGTGTAAAATCTCAAGGGATTTACTATCTATATATAGGAGGATCTCAAATCTCGATCACATTTTCTGAAAATGCAGGAGGATCTCAAATCTCGATCACATTTTCTGAAAATGTAAACTAAGCCAACAAAATATTTTCCAGCCAGCAATCAGAGTAATGCACTGGAGAAAAATGCAAATAATGCAGGCGCAATCGCGTAAGAGCACACACCTGAATCGGATGCGTTTGAGGTCGTTGCCACCTTGCGGCAGCGAGACGAAGGTGATGAGGACGCCGGGCTCCACCTGCGCCACCCACTCCTTGGCGTTGTCCTCCTTGCCGCCGCCGCCAGATGACATCCCGTCCTCCTCCTCTTCCTCCTCCTCGTCGCCGGCGGGGAAGTCGGTGCGCGCGCTCATGGATGGCGTGGCCTCCCCGCTAGAGCCCCCGCCCGCAGCGCGCCGGTAGGCGTAGTGGAAGCGGTCGGAGCCCGAGGCGGCGTCGGAGCCCCGGAAGCCGCTGCCGCCGCGGTGGTGGTACGGGTGGTGCCGCCCCGAGGACCCCGCCGAGGAGCCGGCGCAGGGCTTGCAGTGCCGGTACGCGCCCGACGCCTTGAGCGCCATGTCCTTGATCTGAACCCAAGAAAATCCCCCGTCAATTCAGTCCCACCCGATCTGATGATTACGACCTCGAGACAAGATTCCAAGACCTAAAAGGCGTAACCTTCCAGACAGATTCAGACGAATTTAAAAGGTCGTCATCTCCTTTCGGCGGATGAACAGAACAAGAGAAACAGAACAAAAAATCGACATTTCAAGCACAACTCCAGTGGCAAGAGATGCAGGCACAGTCCCGGGAGCCCACCTGCGCCGTGAGCGCCTTGATGGCCTGCCGGGTGCTGGGCGTGGCAGCGCCGCCCACGCCGACGCCGGCATCGACGACGTCCTCGTCCTCCGGCGGCTCGTGCAGCGGCGGCACCCCGCCGCCGAGCTGCCTGGAGCAGGCGATGCACGTGAGCATCCCGCCGCCGGCGAGCACGAGCACGCGCGCGCACGCCCCCTCTGACCGACGGACAGCGACAGACCCGGAAAGCGAAACCGGGAGCGGCGCGCGGCCTTAAATGGTGGGGCGGCACGTAGCGTAGCGCACGGACGGCGACACGGGCGACGACGTGGCGGAGCAAGTACAGGCGCGCGCACGCCCCTCCTCGCCTCCGATCTCGAGCTCGAGTTAAGGGCATTAATGGCCGGATTAGTATATATCGCGGTTTTAATAGCAGCAGCCGCACTGCGGCACGAGCCAAGTGGGATTTAATTTATGGAGCGGCGCCTCCACTGTGGCTCGACTGGATCGACGGACCCATCAATGTAAAGCTTCCCTGACACGCCCCTGGTGGGTGGCGGGCCCCCGAGGGGCCGCGGCCGTGTGGCCACTGGCAGGAGTAGCAGTACTGGCCATTGCCATTGCCAGCAGAGAGAGAGTGAGAGTGAGTAGTAGCAGCGGCAATAGTAGCAGAACTTTTTGTTTGTTCGTGTTTCGACGGGGGTTCGGGTTTTTTGGTGGTGGGTGAAAAGGGTGAGGCGAAAGGTTCGGATATGTCGTGAGGAGTGCAATTTTTCCTTCATACTATGTGCAGTGGTTTCATATGGACTCCCGGGGGTTAATTTTAACTTAAGTTCCTGACTCTCAGATTCGCCTCGAGAGGCGTGCTCTCCAGCTCAAACGATCTTCTGAATCTCTTTTGCTTAAATATTCATAGGCTCATTCCCACCTTCGGCGCCTGGTTTTGGATCATAGTACTAGTTTGATTGCCACCGTTACCACGATGCTTTGGGTACTTGTGCCGCTCTAGACGCCTCCGTGCATTCTATGGGCAAGCAAACCACAAGAATCGACCGTTTCCAAAAGACCCGCGATATAACTTAACTTTAGCAGTAACATCGAGTCCAACTCAACAAATTTGCTTATGTATCAATGAGTTAATGAGGAGAGGGATAGTTTGAGTAACTTAGTTAGTTACTGTAACATCACATGTCTCAATACAATATGAGTCTACTCCCTCCGTCCACGAATGAGTGTACATCTAGCTTTTATTCTAAGTCAAAGTTTTAAAATTTTGACCAACTTTATAAAAAATAGTAGTAACATACATGGCATCAAATTGGTATATTATCAAAGTACATTTCAAAACAGATCTAGTGATACTAATTTAGTGCCATAAATGCTTCTACTTTTCCCTAGAAAGTTGGTCAAAGTTTTAAAACTTTGACTTAAGACAAAAGCTAAATGTACACTTATTCGCGGACAGAGGGAGTATAACCTAGTAAATTAAGCTTTGCATGTTAGCACACTTAGGTTACTACCCACTATGAAGGCAGTAACATAGTCTAGTGATATGTGTATGTTAGGCTAGTCATAGTAGGAGTAACTTAGCAAGTAACATAGCGCACTCCGAGAAATTTTTGCTTATGTGGCATGTAGTTAATGAGAAGTGGTAACATAATATGTTACTGTAACATAGCGCTTTTCAAGACAAAATGAGTCTACAAGCTAATTAATGAGGTCCTCTATGACACTACTACTATGTTACTTTGCACTATGAAGATAGTAACTTAGACTAGTGTCATATGCATGACACTAGTATAAGTTACTCCCCACTATGACCAGCCTTACTCTCTACTGTGGCTGGTCGGAAGAGAAATATGAGAGCATCTATAGCCGAGCGTCTCAAAGTCGCTTCATACATCTGAGCGGGCTGCTTGGTCACTGTCCGGTCGTAAAATTTTGATCCAGATGGCTCCCTCAAACGGTCCTCAAATGCCCGGGCTGACCGGCACCCCTCATATTCAACCCAAATATGAGGCGGATATGGGTGCTCGGGCTCACCAGGGCACGCCCGCCACGTTGAACCCGACCAAGGCTGGCCCACCTGACCCCACACATATTCATCCTCATCCGCTCGCCAGACCAAAACTCTAGCCACTCCACTCCCCTCCGCCACCCAAACTCGTCGCAACAGCATCGTCGTCGACGTTCGCAGCTCGTCCCAGGACAAATCCATGATCAATCTGACGTCCATCGGCACTGTTCGGGTTCCGGGCTCCAGAGAGGAAGACTAGGGCATGGGAGACGGCGACGCCTTGAGTCCCGTGAGCCGGCTCGTGTCCCATGCCCTACTCTACCTTGTCAGCGACCGGACGAACACTCTAAGGAGCGCAGCTGGCCGCCGAACATGGCTAGGGCGGAGCCTGGCGAGCTGTAACACCTCGGATGCAACTTTCCATATTCGTAACTCCAACTCTTGCCTTTTCCGGAGATGTGATATGATATTTCCTTCGTGGTTGGGTTTTTGTCTTTTGTTTTGCTTTTTGTTCTCGTTATGCATCTCGTCTCATAGCATCATGCGCATTGCATCGGCATCGTTTTCATAAAACTTGCATCCGTCCGGGTTTCCCCGGTTCTCTCCGTTGTCCGTTCTGAGCCCGACCACACTCGCACGCGCCCGCGGCACCTCCGAAATATTATTTTATAAGTGGCATAAAAATGTTCTCGAAATGGGTTGCAACTTGTGGTGCGGTCTTATTATAGTGTAGGCAGGCCGTCTGCCAAGTTTCGTCGCATTCGGAGTCCATCTGATAGCCCAACCGTTAAATGTATAGCGGTACCGTTACCGGTACCTTTGTTGGATGTTTCGGTCTTCGAAACTGCCACCAGGCCTCTCTCTCTTTTCTCTCTTCTCAGCCCAAGGCCTTCTACACAGTCACTTGCAGCCCACCTAGCCATCCTACAACCCTCCCCCCGACCGGAGCCATCGGATCGTGATCAGAGGGCTCCGAAAGCCCCAAAAAAACCCTAACCTAGCCTACCTACTATATATGGACACCCCTCTCCATTTTTGGGTTACCCTAGTCTTCCCCTACCCACAGCGCCCCCTCCTTTTGTTTTTTTCTCCTGTTGGGCCAGCCTGCAGTTTCAGCCCGATGCATGTTTTTTTTCCTGTTGCGTTTTTAGCATTTATCCAGAGTTACAGTTTTATAGAAAACCCCCTGTTGTTCGTGCATTTAATAACTCACAAAATATGCATCATATGTAAATAATTTATACATGTAAAATGCTTAGAATTTTGTGTAGATTAATAATTTGCAATTTTCACCCATGTCAAAATTGTTTAAATGTGATGTTTGATTAAATTTGCATAAATGCCATGTTAAAACGATTTATTTCATAACTAAATAACCGTAGCTCCGAATTTAATAAACTTTATATGTAAATGGGGTGAAAAAATGCATAGTATAACTTGGTCCACTTTATTTTCCTATTTAACAACCTTAAAATATGGTTTAGGGCAGAACAGTACCAAAACTAAAATATGGACATGAGGATTTCCCGGAATTGTTGTTTGTTGTTCCGGCCTCATTTAAACTTGCCTGGATAGGTAGTTTTATTGTGCTTCACCTTGTGCCATGTTTAACAACATTTAATATTTGAGTAGTTTAAACGAGATGAACTGAATAATTGATGTGGTGTTTTGTCAATATGCAACTTGTTGCATATTGAGCTCCACTTAACCTGTAGTATTGTTTGTTGCACCTTGCCATGCCATGCCTCATTAAACCGGACATGCATCATACTTGATTGTGCATCATGCCATGATTATGCTTGTGTGTTTACCATGTTGTTTGCTTCTTTCCGGTGTTGCTTCTTAGTTCCGGTAACGTTGCGTTTGCGAGGATTCGTTCGACTACGTTGGTTCGTCTACTTCATGGACTCGTTCTTCTTCCTTGTGGGATCTCAGGCAAGATGACCATTACCCTCGATATCACTTCTATCTTTGCTTGCTAGTTGCTCCGTTCTATCGTTATGCTGCGCTACCTATCACTTGTTTACCATGCCTCCCATATTGCCATGTCAGCCTCTAACCTTTTCACCCTTCCTAGCAAACCGTTGCTTGGCTATGTTACCGCTTGGCTCAGCCCCTCTTATAGCATTGTTAGTTGCAGGTGAAGTTGAAGATTGCTTCATGATGGACAGGATTATGTTGGGATATCACAATATCTCTTATATTATTAATGCATCTATATACTTGGTAGAGGGTGGAAGACTCGACCTTATGCCTGGTGTTTTGTTCCACTCTTGCCGCCCTAGTTTCTGTCATACCGGTGTTATGTTCCCGGATTTTGCGTTCCTTACGCGGTCGGGTGATTTATGGGACCCCCTTGACAGTTCGCTTTGAATAAAACTCCTCCAGCAAGGCCCAACATTGGTTTTACCATTTGCCTCACCACCACCTATATTTCCCTTGGGAGTAATTAACCCAAGGGTCATCTTTATTTTAGCCCCCCGGGCCAATGGTTGTCTAAGTGTTGGTCCAAACCAAGCGATGTCCGGCGCCCCCTGGGCAACCAGGGTCTATGCCAACCCGTCGTCTTGCTCATCCGGTGTGCCCTGAGAACGAGATATGTGCAGCTCCTATCGGGATTTGTCGTCACAGCGGGCGGTCTTGCTGGTCTTGTTTTACCATTATCGAAATGTCTTGTAAACCGGGATTCCGAGTCTGATCGGGTCTTCCTAGGAGAAGGAATATCCTTCGTTGATCGCGAGAGCTTATCATGGGCTAAGTTGGGACACCCTTGCAGGGTATAATCTTTCGAAAGCCGTGCCTGCGGTTATAGGCAGATGGGAATTTGTTAACGTCCGGTTGTAGATAACTTGACACCAGATCCGAATAAAAACGCATCAACCGCGTGTGTAGCCGTGATGGTCTCTTTTCGGCGGAGTCCGGGAAGTGAACACGGTCTTTGGGTTATGTTTGACGTAAGTAGGAGTTCAGGATCACTTCTTGATCATTGCTAGCTTCACGACCGTTCTGCTTGCTCTCTTCTCGCTCTTATTTGCGTAAGTTAGCCACCATATATGCTTAGTCGCTGCTGCAGCCTCACCACTTTACCCCTTCCTTTCCCTTTAAGCTTTGCTAGTCTTGATACCCATGGTAATGGGATTGCTGAGTCCTCGTGGCTCAC